TGAAAGAGGGAACGATTCTAAAAATAAATCTTCCTTTGAAATATAAATCTATTTATATTTCAATGGTATGTTTTCAGCCTTGAATTCCCAAAATAGAATCTCTCTACGCTTATTCTTTAACAAAGACATTTTATGAAAGCGAAAGAGCTTTAATGTTGTTATTAATACAAAAGTTTTTATAATTTTTGTATTATATATATATAATACCTTTCTTATATAGTTGTTTTTGTCTAAGATAAGTAATATGAATCTTTTGAAGATACATGGTTGTAAGTTTAAACTCTGGGCAAGAAATGAAAAAATCAGTATAAAGAGTGTACTTTGTTGCTTTACACCAATTTTGATTTACTACCTATTTTTATCAAATATGTGTAGATTTATAATGAAATGTGTGTGTGTTTTTCAGGCGAGATCGAAAGGTCTGAGTGCTGAAGAATATTCTTTGGTGTTTGGAATCTACAGCCTCTCTCAAATCACGTTCAGTGTCATTGTTGGCAGAAGTGTAAGTTGAATTCATACTTAGTTAATGTAGAGAGAATGTAATGCAGTATTCTTTTTTTTTTTAATAAGAACTGTTTTCATGGAAAGAGAAACACTCGTTGACTTGGTATGTTCACGAAACATTTTTATTACGAGGAATCGGAAAATTGAAACTGGTTGTTGCATAGTCCCTGGCCGTATTATTAGACGCACTATAAAATTCTACGAAAAATTATAATTATCAGGTGATAACTATTCAGCATCATTATTTTTACACGGCTGAAACCGGTTTGCATTAGTTTACTATCCTGTATTCATGGGTTAATATTGTAATGCAATAGGTTAAAAATAAATACAAATAGGAAGTCTATAAAAAATCTCCTGAATAAAAACCCCATTACATGTGTGTTTAAATGTAAAAGTAATGCCTATATAAACTCGGGCAAATCATGTCATTATTAAAAAGCCACAGTGGGTCTCATAATGTGATCTAATTATTATAATATACTAACATAATGCTTGATATAATAAATAGTCCTATCGTCAATGTATCCTATCGTCAAATTTATATTATATATCGTCTAATGTATCCTATCCTTAAATTTATATTATATATCGTCTAATGTATCCTATCGTCAAATTTATATTATATGTCGTCTAATGTATCCTATCGTCAAATTTATACTATATGTCGTCTAATGTATCCTATCGTCAAATTTATACTATATATCGTCTAATGTATCCTATCGTCAAATTTATACTATATATCGTCTAATGTATCCTATCGTCAAATTTATATTATATATCGTCTAATGTATCCTATCGTCAAATTTATATTATATATCGTCTAATGTATCCTATCGTTAAATTTATATTATATATCGTCTAATGTATCATATCGTCAAATTTATATTATATATCGTCTAATGTATCCTATCGTCAAATTTATATTGTATATCGTCTAATGTAATCAATTGATACAGTAAAGTAAACAAGTGCAAACAGTCGTGTAATAACACCAAAGCTGTATAGAGTATCACCTGATTATTAAAATTTTAGATAGAATATTATAGTGCGTCCAATAATGTGACCAGGGACTCAGAAAAGATTTTTGTCTCGACAAAAAAAATCTCTTGTGTTTTTATTTATTTTAGACTCGCTGCTGTTGTCGAGGAGGCACAATGATTAAGGGACTAAACTGTCATTCTGAGGAAATTACTCCTCTGTGACCGGCTTGTCTATGATGTAAAAGCGAAATTGTGCTGACCACGTTGCCACATTCTTGCCGCTGGTCAAAAAATTGAGAAGAATATTTTACTTTGTTATCGCTTTTTTGCACCGACAAAATTCATTATCTGACCCTGCAATGCTCTTTTCAAGCTTTTCTTTTGCTTCTTCTATAGGTTTTTGAAATAATTAATTTAAGCACGTTTCATCAAGTTTTAACCCAATTGTTAAGTAAGTAATTAACTAGATAAAGCCTAGTACCAGTATATTTAGCAGCAAAATAAATCAGTATGGTTGTACTATGGTAATTGGTTATTATTTCCGACAATTATTATCTTAGGTTACTATTTCTATTTTGGATATTATTCCGTATTTATTTTCACGACCTGACGACTTTCGTACGTTCTTTCTTTTTTAACATACTATTGTTTGGACTGATTGGGAATTTTGACCCTCAAGATTGGGCAGGAAACCGTAATCTGGTAATTATGGCCCGAAAAGCTAAATAAGTTTAGTCCCTTTTATGTGGTTAAATTTTATGAGTGTTTCGTCATATTGAGCGAGTTGAAACGTTTTTGCACACAATTATAAAATTTATTTACCCAAAAATAATTCGGCATGAAAAAAAATTTACAAAGAATTTTTATTTTTTATAATAATAGTAAAAAAAAATTTTTGAATTTTAACTATGCACACATAATNGTTTGGACTGATTGGGAATTTTGACCCTCAAGATTGGGCAGGAAACCGTAATCTGGTAATTATGGCCCGAAAAGCTAAATAAGTTTAGTCCCTTTTATGTGGTTAAATTTTATGAGTGTTTCGTCATATTGAGCGAGTTGAAACGTTTTTGCACACAATTATAAAATTTATTTACCCAAAAATAATTCGGCATGAAAAAAAAATTACAAAGAATTTTAATTTTTTATGATAATAGTAAAAAAAAAAAATTGAATATTAACTATGCACACATAATTTCAAAATTATATAATTTTGAAAGATGAATTACAAAATCGAACAACTATGTTTTTTGTGTATTTCAGTCAATATGTGCAAATCAAATTTTTTGTCCAAAAAGAAAATCATTTATCCAAAAATATTTCACGCAAAATATAATATGTAATATGTTATTGCTTTTCCCCTTCTATTTTTAATATTTAATTTATTCTTCTTCATAAAATGTTTTATTAAGTTTACAAATTTTTAACATCATTTAAACTATGTGAGTTTAAATGATAAAGTTTAAAATTTGAAAGATATCGGTCGAATAGTTTCTCAGCAGCAAAATTTCAGAAAAGTCGGCACTTATTTTGAAGCTCAAGGTTTTAAATCTGACGGGAAAAAAATGTTCTTTTAGAGAAAGTACGCTTTTGTGACTAATTTCATATCTTAAAAATTTTCAGCACAAATTAATTAGCCATCAATTAAATTCAACAACTTGAATCGCTAACATAACATGTCAATGCGAAAAATCCGATTCATTCATAAAAAGTTATACAGCTGGTTCCGTTTTCATATTATTCATTATTTCTTCGAATTATATCAAGGACATGTATTATTTTAATAGATAATAAATAATAAGTGTTGTAACATATTTGTTGGCACTCTTCAAGTCTTATTAATATTAATAAGTACAGGTGCGATTAAATCATTTGTCAGATTCATAAGAAAGCAAATAGAGCTCTAATTTACAGAATGTTTTCTTTAAAAATTAAATAACAAAACATTGTTTTATTTTTTTCTAGCTGACAAAAATTGGTCCTAAATTTGTGGTTGTTGCAGGTCTTTTTTTAACAGGAGGATCAACAGTCTTGTTTGGGTAATTACTTTTCTAATCAATCTTTCTTTTAGTCGAAATTTATCTTAAGCCTTTTAGGGTAATTTTTTTCGAGAACGACGAATAAAAGAACGAATGCCTGATGCATAAGAAAAAACAGCTCTCCTGTGTTGACGTTTCTTCATGTCCCCAAGAAACATTTACTATTACCCGCATTTAAACTAAAAAAGACACTTAACTTTATCACTTTAACTGAAAAAACAACAACATTGAAATTCAATTTCGGGTACTTTTAAGATACGATATAATAATCTTTGTACAGAAAAAACTAATGATTTGTGAATAATCTGCTAATAATTTTTATAACACTATACCTTTCACGTTATCAAATTCATGCATGATTTCTAAACATTTATTCATAATAGTGAGTATTAACAATGTTTGAGCTTTAAATAATATTGAATTTATAATGTACATTATTTTATTCTAACATTCATTCTCTAAATTAATGTCTTCAATAATTATATTCCAAAACCTTATTTGGATCAATTATAAAATCTTTTACAGACGTAAATAATAATGAGTATTTAATTCTAATATTCCTTAGCTAAATTAAGATCAGCCATAACAACTTTCGAAAATCTAGATTTAGATGAAGTATAATTGTTTTCTTTAAGATGTAAATATTGTTTCATATTTTATTCTAATTTTTCCTTAATAATATTTAAAGATCTTAATTGGGAGAAAAATTAAAATCAAAAACTCATTTTGTACATTTATTTTTTAACACCAACAATAAAAACGATATCTTACCGGATGAGAAAAACAAACAAAAATAAACTGTTTTCTAGAAAATAAGTAGAGTTCGTTTTGTTCTAATCTATTTCTTCATAGAATAATCTAGCAGCAATTTAAAACGTCAATACTTTACACTGATTTAATTATAAAGTTGTTTATAAACTAAAGTATTTGTCACATACCATTCATTATCTTTAGTTTAGAGAAAACTTCATTAATATTATAAAGAGGGAAACCACACGAAAGTATTGATTATTTTCAAAAACTTTTGTCTAGTTATTAATTTAAGTAATAGTTTAAAGCGAGTTTAATAAAATGTTGTATCTTAAAATTTTACCCTAATATCACTTGCTGACAGGTCTTATATTTTAAGCATGATCTGTCGTGATGAGTGATAATTTATAGCTATTGTACCTATATGACATTATTTAAAGGTTTAATAAATTAAAAAATCTATGAAAAGATGCTCCAACGTAGAGTCGAGTCGAGTTAACATGTCTTATATACTAGTGAATTGGAATTGCAAAATTGTAGTGGTAGACACGCTACAGTACTCCTCCAGAATTGTATCTGTGATATAGAATTCGATGAACAATAACCACTAGTTGATTCATTGCTGTCTTGTGAGAAACCGGGAAATCTGTATTAAGATCACCGGACCTTGAGTGCTGATCATGTGAACTGTATTAAGTACAGGGTCGCTCTAGTGTTTCCATCAGCAGTTGAGTGTATAATGGTTGAGTGTATGTTTTTTTCCCTTGAATTGGCAATTTTTCGCTGTTATCTTCTGGTTTTCAATAAACGACAGCTACTTCCATGATTTAATAAGTGAGACTATTGTGCAACGATTGTCTTATGAATTACAATTATTTTTATATTTAATAACCGTCGTTGAATAGCCGACTGTTTACGACAATGTTCAACGACAACTAATGTTCGACTCCGTAGCCTTTAAATTTTGAACCCTTCCAGAGGACAAGGGAACTACTGGATCAAGTATTGGCAGAAATTTGCCTTCGTGGAGAGCCTTTTTGATGGAACTAACCCGCATTTGTGTTACATGGAGAGTAAGACCACGAGAACCCCCCACTGTTAGCCAGACGGCAAGAGGACTCTATAACCCATGATCCATCTACCACTGANCGTGGAGAGCCTTTTTGATGGAACTAACCCGCATTTGTGTTACATGGAGAGGAAGACCACGAGAACCTCCCACTGTTAGCCAGACGGCAAGGGGACTCTAACCCATGATCCGTCCACCGTTGAGGATATTTCACGTCAGCACTGTGGTCGGTGCAAGCTGGATGCGGAATTCGTAAAGACCAGCCATCGCTGGGATTCGAACCCGGTTTACCTCATTAGAAGGTGAACGCTCTATCCCCTGAGCCATCGCAGATCAAATGGCAGTTTTTACTATTATTTGCTATAAACAACGGTCATTACAATGAGTTGCAACTTATGGCAGCTATCTAATAAATGGAATAAAATACAATAATTTGCAACCTATCACCATCATCAAATGATTTGTAATGAAAAACTGTTGCCTTATGATTAGTAACAAACTGCTGTTCGTTTTAAAACTTGCAACAAACTAAGTTCTATCTCATGTTTTGCAATGAATTTAAAACAAAAATTAGGCATTTTGCATGCTTAGTTATTAATCTCATCGCCATTCATTTCAGATTTAAGTAATGATAAAAAAAAAATTGAATTCCATTGCCATGAAATTTTGTTGATTCCGAAGTTTTCATTCACTCAACTCCAAAACTTGAAGAACCGAAGTAATTAGTAAAAAAGCACGGATCTCATTCAAATTCCATTAAACTGTAATTCGCTCATCTAATTAATAGTATGATCACGTGTTCTACTTCAAGTAACGACATGTTTCTCCCAAGATCATTAATTAAAGCTCATAAGGACCCTATTAATGTTGTTAAATTTGTCATTAAAGTTTTTGAATATGTGTATTCAATGTTCAGCGTTGAACATGGCAATTAAGATTAGACAAGTCTTTGCATTTAAAATAAGAACATGAAAAAAGGAAGCGTTTTAAATTCATATTTAAATTAAAAATGGTTTAATATACGTAATAATACACTTTTTCAATATATACTTTTCTCAGGGACGGTTTAAAAAAATGCATTGTTAGATTAAAGGACTTTAACTCTACCACGCTGGCTAAGTCCCGTGACAATTAAATAATTAGTTAACAGAATAAACGGAGACTATTATATACATTTTATTTGTAAAGTACTAATATGATATTTAATAGACATAGACAATTAAAAAAGATGAAACAGAGAGCTTTATTAACTAATTAAAAATTTCGACAAAGTATACTGCTTTTCAAATGATAAAATGAACAAGACATTTGATAAGAACGAATAATACTCGAACAAAAAACATATTTTTACAACATTTAAGTTAATCACCACTAGAAAACGAGGAAGACTAAGACTTGCAACTGATTACAAAATGACTTGAAAAATATAAGTATAATAGATTGGAAAGTCTGGGCAAAAACAGAACCTGCATAGAATAAAATTCTGCCATAAGCTAGGGCCCACTCGAGGCTGTAGTGCCAGAAGGGAAAGAAGGAAACTGATACATAAGAGACATAGACTTTAAAAGAAAGATTCTGTTATAATTATTGTCATAATATATATATATATATATATNACCTTACTATGTGTTGTATATTGTGGGTAAGTTTCATAAAATTCCATGTGTAATTTCTTGAGTTATCGCGATTTTTGTGAATTTTCCTTAATTTATGATAACCAGTGTATATAGCATAATAAATAAGTACAAAAAGGAAGAAAAAATGAATAAAAATCCGGAAAAATAAAATATATAATCTTTTCATCAGCTCACACGATTATATCGGCAAAAAGGAGGGCTTTCTAATATTGTATTAATATAGCCAAAGCAAAATATATCAATACAATAGTGTGAGAAGCACTCAAAACATTTTTTACAAAAAATTACAACAAATAAAATAGAACACAATAAGTAAAAACATCAAGTAAAAACACAGAAAATAGAATCTAAAGAAAAAACAGAATAAAACATGAAATGAAATCTTTAAAGCGATCAGCAAATTCAAATGAACTTGCAGGAACGGGAAATTTTTCAAGAATGATTTAAAATATTTTCGAAATAAATTTGCCAGATTGCAAAATATGAAACCAAAAGTGCAAAATGACATAAAAGAGTAAATCGAGGGGTTTTGTATTAAAGCGCGATTTTACTGCATTACTGAAGTGCGTTTGATTTGTCAGTTACCAGGGAGTGGCCCGAAAATGGATGTGCGAAAGGTAATATTATACTGGATAATTCAAAGAAGTTGACAATTAATAAGTTTAGAAAATTAACATTTATTTAAGAAAAAAATAAAATTGAAAAGAGAAAGAAACGTGAATTGCCTGTTTTGCACATAATTTTAGCCACGGATTTGACCGAAATGGATTTGCACATAGTAAAAAAATATATAAATTAACAAAGAATTTTTTTATTTACTTTTTTAGTAACTTTATTTACAATGATATACAATTAACTCAATGATTTTATATAGAATTGAATTAGATACTTTAGTTGGGTATCCATTGTTTTTAATAAAATTTTGAAAGAGTTTATCTATTTGCTTTTTTGGATAAATAAATATTACTACATATTCTTCTAATTCTATTCATGTTTTCTCTACATTTTGAACTTATAAATATAGATTAAAAAATAACATTAACAAATAGCATTAAAACAAAATTTAAAAGCAAGAAAATAGTTTGCATGGCTGTAATTGAGAGATTCCGCGAAATATAAAGGTTTTGTCAAACTTACTCCATGTAAATCATTTGGTGGTAAATTATGTTTCTTTTCTCTATGCTTGACCACAGACCATCGCAACTCTCTCGACTGAAGCTTTCAGATATGAGCTTTAGTAAAAAAAATCTTCTGTTTATTCGAATAGATGTCTGGAGAGGAGTCCCGGAGGGGCCATGTTCTTTTGGCTCTGCATGGCTGTTAGAGCTGTTGAAGGTGCTGGTTTCGCAGCTTATCTCACAAGTTCTTTGGCTGTCCTTGTCAGAACATTTCCCACCGATCCAGGATACTATGTGGTGAGAAAGATTGTTCTATATACCAGTAAAACTTGCAGGATCTTTTTTCTTTTAATTTCCATAACGTGAAATAATTTTCACACTAAACCTTTCTTGGCATAAAACAAATTTATTTAAACGCATAATTATGCCACAACACAAACATATAGTGAAGTATAAAGAAATAATAGTAAATCACATCGTCAAAAAATCGCTCCTTCTCAAAACATTCTAATACTTCTAATACTTCTCTACACCGAGCTAAAACAGAAGCAGGATTCGTTTTCATTCAATCCTTAAGTTTTTGTTGATATCTCGTGGCGCCATCTAGTGATGGCAAACCTTACAATACCCAAGTTGAGATTTTTTTATGATCACAAAACATTTTGCAGATTAGGCCACCACATAAAATTGGTTCACTTTTAAAAGAGTGTCACTCCCCATTCACATGACATCAAGCGCGTGATGTTATAAGACCTGATTTTCGAAAACGAAACCTGATTACGAAAACCTGATTTTCACCTCCGATTCTCCTAAACTGCTTTGAGGCAGGGATTGCAAATTCGCGATACTGCCAGTCCATAAATTAAGGATAATGGCAGCTGGTTTTGTAGTTCAAATTTGCTCTTCTCAATCTCAATAGTAATTGTTAAGAGTTCGAAAAAAATTTTTTTTTCATAAAATATGATGGTGTAATATTTAATGTACATATTTTTTTAATTCAATTTTCCATAAATATTCATAAATATGTATGAAGGGATGTCATTACGAAACACCCTGCATTAGGTTTTGTTTAAATGTGACTATTCAAATGAAGAAACTTGAAACTACGTGTTTGTTTACAGGGACTGACCGAAACTATAGTGACCGTAGCTATGATATCTGGACCTCCACTGGGAAGTTTCCTTTATACAGTAAGTTAATCATGTTTATTTAGTAAAAAGCAAACTGTTTTAGAATCCAAATAAATGAAGAAAAAATGTCCTGCTTTTATTAAGCATTTTTCTTAGCTGCGTATTTAGTGGTCTTCCTAAATATTATTTTAATTATATGAAGACCATCTTGTGAGAAATGATAAGCTGTAATTTTTCCACGAAGAAATTATCGAATTTCTGGTCAGGCAACCACGTAATAAAAATTCTATGAAAATAGATGGCGCCACACATCGTATTGACAAGATAACGAGACACATATAAATGTTTGCAGCAAGTAAAAGCACAGTCGTGAAACAAAGCTATTTGGTATTTATCTTATTTGTATTAAAATGGATATAATACTGTATGACGATTGACGAGAAAATTCTTGAAATTATCTCAGAAATGAAGTTATAAAATGCAAAGCAATATGTACCTGAACTACATTAGATTTATTTATTTATCCCCATCCCCTTTGCCTGTAGCTTTCTTTATATGGAATGCGGTTTCAGGCCATACAAAGAATAGCTGGAGGAAAATGGGGGATAATTATACCCCAAAGGCTCCCCCCCCCGAAGAATGATGACTAGTGCAGCTGCAGTCAGATGTGTTAATCCCAAAATCCATACCAGAAAAAAACTAGATAGCAATATCTCCTGTTCCTATCGTACATTCCTCACAAAAGTCCTTCATATTTTTCTGGCAATATCTCCATTGCACATCACACTTCAGCAGGAAGCAACTAGTATCAACATCACCAGGAGCAATCGTTCTGTAATAATAAATAGCGTCTCCTTTTATGCCTCATTAATCGACAATCAATGACCTAATTAAATGACCTCCTCCCTGTCAATTTTAACCTGAAGACAAATAAACTAATATCCATTAAACAAGTCTGACAAACAAGAAAAAAAATGAACATATTTGGACATGGATGTGTGACGGAATGGGACTGGAATGTTACAACATGAAGATGGCATCATCACACCAACCACACAATTTTAGTTTATAACCGTCATTATTAGTTTATAACCGTCACTCCATTTTTGAGTTCACGACCACTAATCTTCAACTCCTTAGCCTTGCAATCTTGAACCCAACACAGAAGACAAAGAGGCTCCTGGATCAAGTATTGGGAGAAATTATAACCCATGATCCGTCTACCTCTGAGGATATTTCATGTATGCACTGCGGTAAGTGCAAGTCGTATGCTGAATTCGTATAGCTGGGGTTCGAACCCGGTTCGCCTCATTGGAATGCAAACGCTCGATCCCCTGAGCCATTACGATTCTAACCACGCAATTGAAACTATTCACCTGTAACACAGTATTCCAGGTGGAAGCATTGGCATTAAGTGAAGCCATCAATCATAAAACAGCTAATTACAAGCAACGCTATAATTTGGCCAGACAGCCTTTTGAACTATAATAACACTTAAGAACTATAATACCACTCAACAGATTATACAGTACGTTCAAACCCTATTTAATAGTAGTTAAAGCCTCCAAATCTCATGGATTAACCCACTGGCGGTTTAACAAATGGGAAAAAATAAGGAGAATGTTTCTTCCCAAAACCCACTATTTCCCTATCCAATAGCATGGAAAAACCGGTTTTGCTATGCGGAGAAAAACTGCAGGTATTAATTTTTACACGCAGAACCGTCTGTAAGTTAAAGCACATAATAATAACAATGGGAACGAACAAGAAGGTAAACTTAGCTAAAGAAGCAATTAGCAATAGTCAATTAATCATCGTCATCATCATCGGAGGATCAAAATTGTGATGGCTTGTCTTTGGATCACCCTGAGGGATGCTTTTCCAGGGCGTCCGCGACAACAACAACAACCAAATTTCGATAATGACATCGAAATTTCTCGGATTCAGATTGAGAATAATTTGAGAAAGTTTTATGCTAGGGTCCGAATAAATTTAACAATCGGAATAAATTAAGAAACGGCCTAGATTGGAAATAAATTACTATGACTATTTTATTAGAAATAAATGAAAAAACTGACTTTAGAGCTCAATCCATGCGCATTTTTCAAATAAAGCTCTTTTTTTTTATTCATATTAAGAACATCTTTTCAAGAAAATATTCCGCTTTACCCTCTGCCAATTAGCTCGGATTCAAACAGCTGATTTCTTCGCTATAGAGTCCGACTCTGTTACATGCTAGCAATATTTTTTTTTCATTTCTTTTTTCATTTTCTTTTTTCATTATTTTTTAACGTATTAAGATAAATAAAAAAAAGCTTTTTCTAAATAACAAGGTAGATAAGATAAGCAGTTCCAGGATACGATTTAAAGTATCCTTTTCCAAGATACTTACTTTGGAAGAAACTATTTAATAGTATCTCGTTCATTTAACAGAGTTATTTGAGAGAAGAAAAAAAAATTCGTTCTTATTCTCTGTTTACTGTCTGTTTGGAATGGGTCTCGTTTTGAAGAAGAGTTAATATGGAAAACTATTTACACGTGACAGCTAACACAAATGAACCTAATTTCTTCTGTAAACAATGGCAGCTATTTTCATTTCTTCAAAACAAGGATTTTGTTGTTTTTTTATTTATCTAGTTGCTAGCTTTGAGGAATAATGTTTGTTTCTTTTAGCTCTTTTGAGTAGACTTGTGTAAACATCTGAAACCTTTAACTGGGGATTTGTTAAAAGCAAGACAATAGACATTTGTTAAACAAAGTTTTGATTACATTAGAAAATATTTCCAGTAGAATTGAGACGAACTGTGAATTTTTTTTTTTTTTAATCCTGTAAGTTTTATTTTAGTAACTTGTTAATTTTTGGTATTTCTTGCAAAGGACAGATTAAAATATTTGCAAACAAAATAAGTTCGAAATCCCTTTTGGAATAAAAATCAGTTCGGAAAAATAAAGAGCCAAAGTTCCTTTTACAGGCGAGTTTCTTGTTTGACTTCTTTTGGATCAACAATATAAATTTAGTTAGAAGTTTTAGTTTCCTCAAATTTAAATAACGGTTTATTTAAATCGATCACCACTTTCTGTGCCACGTGACAATACCGCTTCTAGGCAATTAACGCAAGATTTTATTTTCATTCCTGATTCCGAGAGTTTATTTCCGTTCCATTTCATTTCTATCCATTCCTAAATAAGGAGACAGATTTAAACTAAAAGGACAGAAACAGACAAATGTAAATAAGAAAAATAAGAAAGAAGCAAGTGAGTAGACTAGAATGAAGAAATTTTTTTTTAATTCCTAAAATAATATTAATCATAATAAAGAAGAAAGAAAAAAAACATCGGTCAATATAATTCTCAGAGATTTAAAAATTATAATAAAAAGTTATGATTGCCTTATTGTGATCACTGGTTAGCCATGGGTCAAATGCTTTTTTCTTTCTGGATTGGACTCCGTTAAACATTTCAAATCATGGGTTGCATAAACTGTCTCTCTTTGATGTTTGTCCTCTTTCATATCCTTGCCTATGTACGTGTTTCAAGACTTTTCCTTCTTCAGCAATCATATTTATATTGTAAAGCCAGTCATTATACGTTTTTATTAAAAATACTTTAAATTATTATTATGTAAGTACATTAAAAATGCCTGCTAGTGAAAATAAAAAGAAAAATAAAAACAGCGGTCGCCATAGCAACGCATGCGCATTGTTTACTCTTGAACATAGTTGAAAAGTGTGTGGACGATATCAAATCCAAACCAAGGCCAAATCAGTCTCAAGTTTAGTAAAAACGGAAGAAGCAAGTTGCTTTTTGAAAGTCAATTAACGTCTCATTAACAACTCAGCATCGTCAAAATTAATAACTATAAAGCTAGTAGTATCAGATGTAAAGTTTGTAATAAAAACACCTAAATTATGGAAATTTTACATTTGCAGCAGAAATTATATAAATTTTGCTTACTGAGATGCAATCCTTACAAAAAAATAAGGTTTTTAAGGTTGTTTTGAGGTTGACAGATGTAAGAAGCACACCTGAGGTAGAAACCTCATAATAAACCTCAATTTCAACCTCATGTACCCCTTATTAGATTAACCTCTGATGTAGCACTGCGATACTTTTATTTGAGATCGAGTGAAATTATTCACATATTTATTTGCTTGAAATTGAAAAAAAAATTACCTGTACTCCTGATAAACAACCTCCCTAAGCTGGTTGCTCAAAAGTCCATCAACCTCAAATATAAATAAAACAACTTCATACACCTTGAGAGGTTGTATTTGTAAGCTTGTTTTTGAAGTCAACTTCAAAACAACCTTAAACAAATTTCAAAAACAACTTAAATTTTTGTCGGAGGAAAGTCAGGATTCCATTTGATACATTTTAGGCATTAAAATTATAGTTGCTCGTGGACACAAGCGAAAGCCTATTTATTAAATTTCGTAATTCCTATTTTTGTTGCTTTTAGATTTTATTTACAAATTCCATTTTTAGAGAAATTTAGTAGTATCCGTTAACGGGCTTTTTATAAAACTTTTTATCATGAAACTGAGTCTTTAAAAAAATGAATTATTGGTAGAATAGTTTCTTTACAAAATATTTTATCTTTTAAAAGGGAACTCTTCTCCGTAGTTTTCATTTTCAAAAGATATTTTTTCTTCTTCACATTTATGTTTATATCTAAGATAAATATTTTTTAGATACACTATTTTAAGGTATCAAAATTTTAAATTTACAAAATAATATATACATTTATCGCTATTAAAATTAAAAAATATTTCTCTTAGTCTTTTAATTAATACATTAAAGCTATATTACATATAATTAAAGTTTTTAAATTGCATTGTTAAATGTGTCAATTTGTTCAGATCTAATTTGTATCAGTGTAGTAGTTACTTTTGAAAGTATTGAATGATACTATTTTTCTTAAATGTTTTTCGATTTTACTTTCACAGTGTTGTTTTGTTTTCATTTATGACTTAATTACTTTTTGTAGAATAATTGTTTATTTTTGGACTTTTCGCAATATCCTACACTTATAACCCTTTGTCGCAGATTTTTTTAAACGTATTTTTCATACTTTTTTCATTATTTTGTATTAGTTTATGTCAGAACAAGTGAACAAAAATATTAAATTTAGCAGTTTAATAATTTACGGTTATGAAATACAGCATGAAACACTGATGACTTTCATACGTTAACAGTAAAATCTAACAAATACAGGTCACTTATAAACAATAGTTTTTCAAATCTGCATTTATTTGAAATCATTCAGATCTAAGAGAAACAGTTATTCCTCATTGAAATTTCTTCAATTTGCGAAATCAAATATTGATAAAATTTTGAATATCAAAAGAATTTTTTTTTCAAATTACTTTTTTTCGATTTTATATTTTTTTACAAATATAATTCTGATAATCTAACATATTTTGATTAGTAACTATTCAAATGTTTTTAACCAAAATATACTAAAATATATTTTTGCTTGCAATTAAAGAGTCATAAAACATATGTATTAAAGAAACACCGGTGTTCGATCTGCGTCAAAGTGTTTTTTTTTAAATCTCTGTTATCATATAAAAGAAGGGTTTTTTTTAAGAAAAATTCACAGTTTTCATAATTGCTGCAAGTTAGCGACAGTCATTCATGATTGTTAGGTCAGATGCAGCGGATCTTTAAACATTACACTTTATAATCTGAAAATAGGGAAAATGTCAATATGAAGAACAGCTACAGTTTTCTCGGGGAAAAAAATTGAAATTTTTGAGGCATAAAAAGTGACTCCACTGCACGAAATGGGCTCATGAATATTTTCAAAAAACTGAGAATTATTCAATGATTTTGGCAATTTCTATCAAGGAGGAAAAACTTCATCGATTTGACGATTTTTAAAAAAAAATGCTTAATAATTTTTAAAATGTGTAATAAAGTTAATTGTCTTTCTGAAGTTTAGATGAATCTTGACGGCAAGTTGAGTTTTTGTTTTGATTAAAATCTAAGGAACTTAAAATGCGTTGTTTTTTTTTAATTTTTTGGGGGGAAAAAGTTTTGAAAAACACTGTTAATGCTTATTTTAAATTCACAACTACTTTGATTTTTTAACGATTTTATAAAACATGAACTTTTACAAAAATGTCTTAATGAACCTCAAATTTAAATGTAGTTACACAAGTCAAAATTCCTGATGGTCCCACATCATTTGATGGTCACCATCATCCAACATTTTCCAATAAGCTTTCATGGTTTTTAATAGGCCAGCAAACTTCCATCCTTTCATGATGGAAAATGCTACTTTAATACTATGATGGTTAACCATCAAGAGAAGTGTAATTCTCATGGATCATCAATCCATGATGATCCGTGAGGATCAATGATGGTTCCAACTATACATTACCATGATGGTTTAATGGGAGTTCTTATTGGTTCTCAGGAATGCATCATCAAAACAATTCGGTTTTTTTCCTACGTTGGCCCATCATAAATCAGTCCGAATTCCCACATTGGGATGATGGATGTTCATGATCGTTCCAACATTTGATTTCTAACAAACTATGATGGAAATTTCTGATGGTTCTACTTGAACAAACCATCAAAACAAGTTGCTATTCTTATGTTGGACCATCATAAATCAGTCAAAATTTCTACATCGGGGTGATGGTTACTCACCCCGATGTAGAAATTGTTACTCACTCATCAAGAATATATTGGTTCATGATTGAATTATTGATGGTTACCATTGAGATTATGTTGGCCCATCAATGGAAAACCATCAAAAATTTAATTTTATAAAGCTTTTCGTAATGTCTCATTGAGATTGGTGTAATATATACTAAGTATTTTATATATTTGAACAATTCATGTTTTGTCTCAGATTGGAGGCTACAGCTGTCCGTTTGTTTCATTTGGAGCTGTCATCATTGTGATGAGTGTGGCTTCGTATTTTCTTATTGCAGAAGAGAAACCAGGTAAAAACATTTCATTCATTACTGCAAAATGATTTTCTAGAAAAATCTACAAAAGTTCTATTTTTAATGTCAGAAATAATTCAAGTCCCGGTTCGAATTCCTTCATCGTGTCTCTATGTCGAAAGTCCCGCAGTGGACTGATCACAAAGACCCGGTTCCCTGTAGAACAACGAAGTCAAGCATCACTGGCTGCGGTCAGTAAGTGGGTAGGTGACCACTTTGATCAGCCTGCCTAGGGACCGACGGTGGGCGGTATCGGTCCTCGTTAAACTGTCCTACCGTAAATTGCTCGACTTCACGCGCAGGTCGTCAGGCTACCAAAATCCCCTCTGCAAAGGATCAAAATTGCGATGACATGTCTTTGACCATTCTCAGGGATGTTTCCGAGATCGTCGCCATTAGCCCATTGAGCAGCTCTAGTGTAACGTAAATAAAGTACCACCGCTGTTCAGGTGTTCAACTTAACGTTAAATTTTGTTTTGTTGCAAAAAAAAAAAAGCAATCAGACTTGGAAGCTTCAAATTATGAAAGTATGTAGAAAATTTACAGGGAGTAACATGGCACAAAATGATTAGCTATTAAACTTGTAAAAAAAAATACTCTGCAGGCCACTCTGAAGGCTTCAAGAACGCAGCAACAGAGTCGAAATTAGGCGTGACGTACAATTTTCGTTTATGAACATAAAAGGAGCCGTTTTTTAAATTCAATTTAATCTAAAGTTAATTCGTCCAATTTAAAATGACTTCGCAAGTTGCAAATTTTTGCAATTTGAAAATCTTTTAACTGCTTTGTTTTATGTTAAATTTTATTTTACTGTGCGAAAACGAGATTAGGGATTAAAAACTACGAAGGGAGTAGGAAAAATGTTCAACCAGTTCGATGGAACAAAAGATTTAAGATTCGATTATTCTTTCGTTAATTATTAACTGCGAAATTATAATAAAAAAAGGTTGCCCACTGAAATGTACTACAGAGTTGAAATAGCCTTTTTCAAATCTAAATTTAACTCAAGTTCATTTTTTCATTTCAAAATTTCAATTTTTTCGAAAGTTAATGCAATTTTAATTGTTTTTTCATGATTTTTTTCACTTCTGTTTCGCTTTAAATAGTAACTATTTATTCACTGATTTAGGAAAATTTACTTCTTTTGACCTCATTTTCTTCTTCTTCATTTTATAAGCTCATACATGACTTGATGTCGAAATTAACAACAACAAAAAAAATTAGATAAATAAGATGAAAAATAAAAGATTTTAGAAATTTAAGAATTAAATATAGTCTGGATTTTCTATAAAATGTAAAGGCAGAGAAAAAGGAAACAAAATTATTGAAGTATCTGTACCTTAATTATCATTCTATTGATGTGTAACATAGTAACAGTAGATAATGATCTTTTCGTAATTAGATTCGTGGGAAAATTTCACTCGCATTGCCTGATATTTAAGAAAAATACTTTTCAGATACAAAGCAAAAGATATATTTTTTGGTTATGTTTAATATTATGAAGAATGGGGGAGGAGGATTAAAAGCAAATCCAATAAATGGCCTCTCCGTCAGAGGTAAATGCCTCTAGCTAAATCTGGTTGAATCTTTTACTTTTTTTCCTTCTTTTTTGCCACAAAATCAATGCCGTTTTCTTTATCCAATTTCTTTCAGTTAAGAAAAATTGAAATCGACCGTTGGGAGAAATATGATTCATTCTTCACCTTATGGGGTCGATTTCAGTCATTTCTTATCCATCTACACAATGGAAATTAGATTATCTTTAAATTACTTCTTCGTCTAAGTCTGCGATTTGAAAAGAAAAGAAAAGAAGAAAAAAATCTGCATTTTATATAAAAGGCGATCGGGGCTAGAAAATGAAGGTGAAATTTTACATTTATTGAACTATTTTTCCAAGCTATAGGTAATAGTTTTTCCTTCGGATTTTATGCGTTTCTCATCGTTTGGAGAAACCTTATTTCGAATAATAATAATAAAAAAAAATAGTTAAGCTTGGTTTTATTACTAGTGTAAAATAAAATGAGTTTCATTTTCAAAAAAAAATTCTCTTTCTTTTCCAAATTTAATGCCGTTAAAGTTTGTTTCATTAACATTTTCTTCCCAATAAAAAAAAAACCAATAAATGCTACGAAACTTACTTTATATTGAAGAAACGTTTTATTTATTTTTTTCATTTTTTGTGAGGAATATTTACTGTTAGTTTACAAAATAGAAAATGATGTAGTACATATATTAGTATCTGAATAATGGAAATCCTATAAGTCTAGGCTATTGATTGTTTGTTTCAAATTCCAAAAATACTTAAGAAATTTGTACGGATAAAGGTAAAGGGATTGGCATATTTAACGCATTTTCTTAAAATATAACAATACATAATTAAGCAAAAAAAAGAAAAAAGAATCGTGAGCCTGACTAAATGATAAAACCTACTTTAACTACAATATATTATTTAACAAATATTTTTATTTTTATTTTTTGATTATCTATATTTTTAATATCTGAATTCAATGACCTTATTTTGTAGAAATCAATTTCTTGCCCAAAAAAAGGACATCCTAATTAACTGTTGATCCTAATGGTCAGATTTTCACGTTCCTGGACTTAATCTTAACGGTTCGAAAGCCTCATTTTAAATATGCTAATTTATTAATGCAAGCATTATTTCAAGTTATGGAAAGATATTACTCAGAAAACGTTTGTTTTGCGTCAAAACGAACGTTTTCTGAGTAATATCTTTTTTTTGTTGTTGACAAATTTGAATTGATTTTAAAATTATGGGAGGAACTGAAATCTGGGACATATGGTTTAGTTAGGAAAACTGTCGAAATTTTAGACCCCTTAATGTTACTTTCTGCTTCTTTTTCTAGAAGAATTTTAAAGAACTTTTTAAGCGAATCAAAACTTTTTGTTCTCGACTATTAAATTTATACCTGAAAAGACAAAGCACGCGAAAAATAATTTTTAATATTTATTTGTTATTTTCTTCTATTTCATTTCACAACAGTTGAACGAAATTCGAATTGAAGGGTATACAAATCTCTACATTATTTTGAAGAATTTTCAGTTTTAAAATACAAAATTTGAACGAAATCGGACGAATAGCTACTGAGCAATATATTTTATTCTATTTTATAACCGTCGTTGAACAGCCGACCCAATTTTATGGGTTTACGACTTCTAATTTTCAACTCCGTAGCCTTGTCAATTTGAACCCAATCCAGAAGACAAGGGAACTCTTGGATCGAGTATTCAGAGAAATTTGCCTTCGTGTAGAACTTTTTGATGGAGCTAACCCGCATTTGCGTTTCAAGAAGAGGAAGACTACGAGAACCTTCCACGGTTAGACTGATGGCAAGGGGACTCTAACCCATGATCCGTCGACCACTGAAGATATTTCACGTCAGCACTGTGGTCGGTGCAAGCTAGATACAGAATTCAAATCGACTGAGATTCGAACCCAGTTCGCCTCATTGGAAAGCGAACGCTTTATCCCCTGAGCCATCGCGGCTTAAATGACATAAGTGGAATAAAATCGGTTGAATAGTTACTGAGTAATATATTTTTTAAAAAAAAGACGGATATTAAAAACTTGAATTCTCTAAAACTGTTCGACTGATTTCGTTCAACCTCTACGAATGAATCAGAATTGCTCTTGAATCATTAGGATTGAGTCCCTGTACGTAAAAATCGGGTCAATAGGTCAAACGTTATTCAGCGTGTTCTGTATTTTTCCATGCTGTATATTGATATGCAATTATTTTATCCTCAGATGCTAGCGAGAAAAGTGACTCTTTAACCTTGAAGGAGTACCGAGGTCTCCTGAAATTGCCATCTGGTGCAATGGTTCTCGTAACTGTGACCTGCAACGTCACTGCAGACGCATTCATACTCATTGCATTAAGTGAACACCTCAATCAGGTATGAATAACTTGTGATCTAATAATCAATTTTAATTGTATAAATTGTGGCGTAACTACCACTAGGATCATTAAACATCAATTCACTATAGTCAGTATATAAGATATGCTAACTAGATTCAATGCTGAGGTACCTTTTGATAGATGGAAGTTGGCATTGTCTAATGGTCTATCTATTCTCCCACAAAATGATCGAAATTGAAGCTGTAAGATATTACTTGATCAAAAAATTTTCTCTTTTAAAAAATGAGCAAGTTGGAAACGTCAGTCAACATCCCAGATAGCAAAATGAGGTTTATTTTCACTCAACAAAAAACTTTCAATGTAAATCTAAAAAGGTTTTTTTTATGCGGTTGACGTGCAAACCTTCTTATCTTAAACTGTGACAACCTGCTCTACTCTACGCACATTACCCTAATCCAAAACCTTTACTAACCTTCTATATAAAACCCTTAAATCGAAGTTATCTTAGGGTTTTCTAGCGTGAAAAAAATCCTTGAATAAAGTTAGTCTTAAGGTGAAAAAAAATCTTATATCTAGGTCATTATGAGGTTTCTTATGGCAACGTCTTCTATGCTCAGCTAAAATCCACCTTGTCATGAAATTTTAATGGACAATGTCTAGTGTGACGTCAGCCAAAACGTCATTATGACGTTTATGACGTCTAGTTACGTTGAAAGTTACTAAGTTTCTTAAAAAAAGCTTTAAAAAAATTTTTTTGGGATGAAAGGTTTGAAACTGCAATATTTTTGCTTTATTGAAAAAAGGTTTTTAGTACAAACATTTTCGTGATAATAATGAGAAAATTTCGTCACAAGGTTACCGTACGGTTAAATGCTTTCTGGGATATGTAGCAGCGGACTGAAAAGTACATTTCTAACAGTTTCATGAGATGCCGATTAGAAATTTATTAAAAGCGATGGCTTTATTAATAAATACTTGAATTATGTAAATTTTCAGACTTTAATAAACAGAATTATAGTATGCGTTTAAAAAAAATGTAAATAAAGTCATCTGAAGCTCCTTACATGTTAAAAAATAATTTAATTTCTAAGATATCGAAATAATTAGATCTTAAAACCAATTATAAAAGTCAAATCCGCTTTAGGATGTAAGAATAAAAATACTCGCCTAAAATAAATCTAGAGTTTTAAATTACGTTGAGCGTGGAGTAGGATTAAAGTATGACAGAATTAAATCTCTTAAAATGAGCGAGGGTAAAACTAAAAATAAAATTAAACATTTTTTGAGAAAAGTAATTATAGAAAGTCATTAAAAATGTTCCAAATGTCAGAGAGGAAGAAAATAAGATATGGCTAAGAAAATTGATTGCTTAATAACATTTTACGATGATTTATTACAAAGCAAAGGTAAAGAAATCTGAATATTTAATAAATAATCCTTAATAAAAAAAGAATCCCCCCCCCTGTATTTTTATGGTATGAATCTAATTTCGTTTATTATTTTTGATCTGCCGTTATTTAATGGAAAAATATTTTTCTCCGTAAAACATAAATTATACCTCTAAGGTCTTCTGAATGTAATAAATATTTATATATTTTTTCTTAATTTTCAGGAAAAAAGCGGTAAAGAGTAACTAAAGTTTGAACGTTGTTTTAAAAAAAAATCTTAAGCTAATTCTAATTATTTTAATTAACAATTAAGTCGTCAAAAGGCTTCAGGTTGTTAATATTTGAATAAGATAAGATATTCGGAAATAAATTAATCTTAAATAATAATTTAATAAGCATTATTGGATTGTTACATTTATACACTTGTAAAAGTGAAGCACGGACTGTTGCCTCCAAACTCAGGGCCCAACTTAACCTAATTGGGTTCTGGGGCAATACCTTCTTTGGGACCCCCCCCCCCTCTGCTTCAATACTTCAGTAACGAAGAACCGAACTTTATGGAGGAACTTAAAATTTTCACCTCATTATAGATATATAACAAGAAAATTGACTAGAACCTAAAATGGCTATAAAGTCCCCCCCCCCTCCAATGGTCAGTCGAAATATCCAATGGTCCACCGCAAGATGCTGCTTTTGGATGGAGGATCTTTTTGGTAAATTCTTCTGCAATTTCTCTGTGCAATTTCACTATCGATTTCGTTTCTATGAACCACCATAAAATCTGTGCTTTCTCTTGTGGTGTATGCATTCTCCTTAATATCCGCTCGAATAAAACATCACATAGAAAAGTACTACATAGAACTAACACATCAAAGGTGAACATAACATTGCAATAGTTGCCAAAAACAAAAGAGAGAAAAATGCAATTAATAAGCAGACGATATTTAGAAAAGTGCAGATATTCAAACCTGAAAAGGAAAATATATGAGTTTGTGGTGGTTGGTTGTATCCAGGAGATGAATAGACGGGGTTTACATTTTAATTGGTATTTATTTTAATATTTAATTATAACGTACACAAGGGAAAACATAAAATAAGAGCAGTGCGTCTACAATGGCGGTTATGCTTTTTCTTCGTGTGAGAATGACAGAGACAGTTACTGATCGTAACTGTCGCGGTTACGATTAAGTTAAGTTCAGTCGCCGCAAGTTATTCCATCAATAAATGCCATAAGTTTGTTTATATCTTCATTATTTTATGAGTTATTAGACATCGAAATGGGTCCGGGAATTTATAAACACCCTGTATTATATAAGTATAGAATATTTGTTATATGAGTCTTATTGGTATATTATAATTATTAGATCAAATGATTAGACGCACTGTAGTTTTTTAATAATGACATGTTTTGCACGATGTTATAAGCAATACTTTTATATTTAAACATACATGTAATGAGTTTTTGTTCAGGAGATTTTTTATATACACTTCCTATTTGTATTCATTTTTAACGTATTGCATTACAATGTGAACCAATGGATACAGGATCGTAAACAAATGCAAATCGGTTTCAGTGCCATAAAAACAATAAAGCTGTATAGAGTATCACCTGATAATTATAATTTCACATGGAATCTTAGAGTGCGCCTAATAACATGGCCAGGGACTGTACTTGAGCAATTAATAAACTCAAACAAAACTAACTCGCGTCTTCTAAAATGTTATCTCAGACTTTACAATTTGAAGTCTTTTAAAAGTTCTTTCTTTCTACTTGAAGTGAAACGTGTCAATAAATATCGATTTATCAATACCCTTTATTGCATTCAGAGACACATCACCTCACAAATAATGCTGCGTGATGTTTCGAACATTTTTTTTCTCTCTCTCTCTCTCCCCCAAGAATGTCATCTCAAACTGGGATGCTCTCCTCACTAAGACATCCAAAAAAATGTTCTGTGAATGTCGAATGGAAGGAAATGCTATCGAATAGTTATTGTTACGATGACGAACAAAAATAAAAGTGTCACCTTTCTGAGATTTTATTAGAATTTTGAAAAACAGCCGGGGAAGAAATATTTTAACAAACATTTTTATTGAGGGGGATATTTACATTTAATACAGATTCAGAACAACTGTTTATACTTATTTTATTTTTATATACGTGTTTCGAAATTATGATTCATATGAAACAAGCTATGGGATACTACAAAAAATGAAATTTATAGAAGTTATATCCTTAAATAAAATGTAGTGTTATTAATTAAATATTATACTTTGGTTCTCAAGCATAAAACACGTCTTTCTTGAAATTACATAGTTCAAAATGGTTCTACAAATATCTTAAAATTATTTCAATACTTATTTTGAAAAATGAAATTTGATTCATTTTTAAATACTATTCTTATTTCAATCAGTAAATATTCATTTGAAAGAGCGAAAGACCATTTTTTTACGATCAAATACCAAGGTAGTTAATTATAACAAGCAAATCGAAAAACACATTATTTACTATGGTTTTTTCATAGAAAATTTTGAGGGTGGCGCAGGGGATAGTGACACTCGCTTTCTAATGAGGTGATCCGGCCTCGATCCCAGAGATAGCTGCTTGATTCGTATTCTGCACCCAGCTCGCTCCGACCACAGTGCTGTTGTAAAATATTCTCAGTGGTCGATGGAAAATGGGTTAGAGTCCCCTTGCCGTCAGGCTACCTGTGGGAGGTTTTCGTGGTCTTCCTCTCCATGTAACGCAAATACGGGTTAGTTCCATCGTAAATTTCTCCGCGAAGACAAATTTCTCCCGATACTTGATCCAGGAGTTCCCTTGTTTTCTGGATTGGGTTTAACATTACAAAGCTACGGAGTTGAACATTAGTAGCCGTAAACTCCAAATTGGGTCGGCTGTTCAACAACGGTCATAAAACAAATGCATTTTACCAATATTAAATAGGCATTAGTGTCAATAATAATATGGCGAATTTTTAGGATCCCCCAAAACGAATAAGTATTCTTTCTGCAATAACTTTACTTTTTGCACGTAGATTATTTTTTATAATTTTTTGTAATTAGTATATATTACCAACATTGATAAAACATCATTGTCGTTAATGGTAGAAAATTATTCACTGAAACTACGTTATTATAATTAATTTAATCTTAAAACAATAAATCATCTCATTTTGCATCGAATGAGAGGATTTTAAGAATAATAATAGAGCATTAAATATTCTATGCCTTATTTCTATTTAACACTAAACATACCAACATTTTATATATATCTATTTCTACCGTAGCCTGTCAAATGGCTGGACTTTATGCTTCTTGATTGAATGTATGAATAATGGAATATGAAGGAAATAAACTAAAAAAACTTTATTATAATGAAACAAGATTGTATATTGCCAATTGTTATGTATTACAAACACAAAGAATAAGAATTTTTAATTCACTGATCAACTCATTTTTTACATATCGATTGTACATTTTCCGCAAACATATTTCCTTTAATTATTATTATTTCTATAATTCTTATAATTATAAAAATATATAAGAAATATAATTCTTATAATTATTTTTATAATTAATATTATTTCCTCTAAGAACTTGCGCTGTCTTCATTGTTTCGACATTTTTCTGGGTAAAAAAGCTATCCAAATAAAATATAAGCTATTTACCAAAGCACTTAGTTTTTGTCATTTTTTCTGACTCGAAAATGCCAATCTGAAATTTTAGGTACTTTCTCGAAATTTGAATTCACAGTTATTCCGATTGAATTGACTACACAACTGTCTCTTCTCAAATGTGCAACTCATCGAATGCAATACATTGAACATGCATTGCATCGTCATTTCTGATCCAATAACCTTATAAAGCAAACAAATTGTTCTCCCGTTCAAATGACCGGTTGTGTTAGAAATAGGTAAACGACAAGTATTACTCGAAACAAACAAAATACAAAGGTAATAATTATGATAATAAAATATTAACTGTGTATAATTATTAGAAAAAGTCATAAATGTGCGAAAACGAGATTTAATACTTGAATTTTCTTTTTGTGCCTTTAGTTTCATTTGACGCCCATGATTATTGGTTCCATCTATTTATGTCTTTTCCTCTCGTACGGACTGAGTTCTCCAATATCTGGAAAAATAGCTGATAAAATGGTAAATTCTTTCTTTATTACAGTGTTGAATTTTATTATTTGCTTCTTTTTATTTAAGAAATGCTTCTGAATATTATTATAATTATTATATTATGCAATAACAGAAGTTTTAGGTAAAAAAAAAGACATGTAAGAAATAGAGAGTTCTGTCTGCTCTGATATCAACTACTTCCACGATTGCTACGTTCACTTTTTCTTTTTTGCTTCCAGCCGAATAAAAACGTGATAAAACAAAACGTATTGATGAATTCTGCTATGCCCGACTTTACTCGGGATGCTTGCAATATATACATATCCGAGTTAACTCGGGATAATAAATGCTTGCAATATATACATATCCGAGTTAACTCGGGATAATAAATGCTTGCAATATATACATATCCGAGTTAACTCGGGATAGTCAGAGAAGCGGTTAAAGCATTCAATTGAAAGATCTCAGAATGTTTCATTGAATTGACACATATTTCGTATAAAAAGTTTATTTCTCTGTTCTATTTGGTTTCGGTTACGGTTAATCGATCTTTTGGATACGGTTTTGCTCCGTGATCATAGCAAATTTCTTAATTCTGAAGGGTTTTATTATTCTAAATTCATTATTTTAATTGTATATGTTGACTGTTTGAAACAGTTTTATACAAAGTTTATGATAAAAGTAAATATAACTTATTTTAATGATAAAAAAGTTGCACGAGATGCCTTGTCCATTGTTTTAGATGTTCTATTTCGCNTTTTTTTTTTTTTTTTTTTTTTTTTTTTTTTTTTTTTTGAGCAAAAATTATGAGATTTAGAATCTTAAAATTTCGAAAAAGCTCAGTAAAGCGTGCAGGAAGTTCGAAAGAATAAAAAAAATGACATTCTTGAATTAGTTTTAGAATTAACTGCTAAACTTGTAAAAATACCTACGTAGCCCCAAAAATGTAATTACGGAGTAAAAATTTTCATATTGAAAGAATCATTTTTATCTGTAAGCTTAGCATGATATTTTTTTGAATTTCTAATTTGTTCGAAAATAATTGAATTTTGAATTTGAAGTCATTCTTACTTTTTACCTTAAACAATGCCAACAAATAGCTTTTGTTGCGAAGGAAGGTAGAAAAATTTACTTTTTTTCAAGATTTTTATTTTAAAAGCTCGCTCACTTCTAAAGTCTATAGTAAAAAAAAATAAAATAAAATAAAATGTTTGCGGTAAAATTGCCAAGATTCACCTAACTTGTTATTATTCCACTGGCTTAACCAAAAAAATATAGTTTGGATAGCAATTACTATACAAAATTCATTTCCAAAATTTATGAGAGGAAGTAGTAGAGATATTTGTGTTCAACCCAAATCAAAATTCTTGATAGTCCCGTGAAAACATTTTGATGGTTCATGTTGGTTTCAGTGCGATTCATGATGGTCCAACATCATTTGATGGTTACCATCATCCAACATTTTCCATCATGCGTTCATGGTGTTTGATGTGCCAACAAACTTCCATCATTCCATTCAGGAAAATGTTACTTTAATACTATGATGGTTAAACATCAAGAGAAGTTTGATTTTCATGGACCAACAATCCATGATGGTCCAGGATGGTTCCAACGATGCATTTCCATGATGGTTTAATAGGAATTCTTGTTGGTTCTCAGGAATTTACCATCAAAACAATTTTTTTTTTGTGTTGACCCGTCATAAATCAGTCCGAATTTCATCCATCAAAACTGATCAGTCCGAACCATCAAAAATTTTGACTTGGAAAATCTGTAATATAAAGAATAAAAAGTCAAAAGATATTTAAATAATAAAAAACAATTTCAAAATCTTTATTTTCAGTAACGATTGAATTTTTTTTTAATTTCACAACTAATGCATTAATTTTATTTACTCCCTGTACAATTACTAAAACGAAATAAGTACTGTATTATGAGCTTCATGTTATTTTAAGACGTTTAAGTTTGCGAGGCATAAAGTTAATCAGTAGCAAATAGTTCGCTCTTCATAAAAATTATTGAAAGTCAAAATATTAAATAGGCCTGAATATAAATACCAGACTAGAGTTGCAGTTAATCAATGTTTTAATGCGTTCACTCATTAAGAAACAGCACTAGAGTACTGAACTCTTCGTATGTTTATTGCAAATCCATTATTTATGAGTTTTGCACAAAGTTTTAAAATCATTTCAAATATTCAAGTAGTATTCCGGAATTATAAAATGTGAAATTGGAAGACTCGTATTGAATCAGCCAATAAAAGATTTTGCACACTGTTCGCAAGCAAGTATAGGTATTGAAAGTATAAGTATTGAAAAATTTATTGCCTTAAATGTTCTATATGTTATCTATCTATCATCTATCTATCTATCTATCTATCTATATACACATTGGCGTAAGAAATTAAGAGAATTTGCAGACTTGGTCGATTATCTCTAGAACTACGGGACCGAATTTAACGATATTCGATATATATGCAGGGTGTCTCAGTTAAGCGTTTCAGAACTTTTAAGAGGGGTAGGGGGCATCCTGACGACTCGAAATCATATAGCAATGTGGGGTCGGAGATGCTTTCCTGAAGCGGTGACGTACACAGAAGCACCATAAAGAAAAGAGACCGTAAGTGAAAAATCGCTATAATAATACATTGAAAAAATTATATGGCCTCCTCGGTCACCCGACCTATCATGTCTTGATTTCTAGAGTCATATGAAAACACTGGTTTATGACACCCCTGTTGATAATGCTGGTTGCAAGAATCGCAGTAGCTGCCTGTGAGATATGCCTGGAGTATTGCAGAATGTTCGAATGTCCATGCGCCGACGATGTGAGGTGTACATTGTAGCCGGTGGCAGAAATTTCGAACACTTACTTTGGCCCTTGTACCATATAATTTACCATGTACCACATAATATTTTGAGCCCGCACAAATAAAAATATATCGTAGTTTTTATGAGATGAAGGTTTTTATATACGTCTTAGAAATATACCATAATACATTTGTACGGTAAAATTACTACTCAACATAATCAAAAACATTCAAATAGAAAAATTCAGACCTATAAAAGAATGTTAAGTAATCTTCTTATAGTAAATGGTAAAAAGTTGTTCGATCTCGAATGACGGGTTTTGGCGAGAAAGGAAGGGAACTTGCAGAACGCTATTTAGTCAAACTACTGTCGTATTTCACGCAGAATCGAATAATACCAATCTCGAGAATAATAGTTATTAATGTTTTATGTTAAAAATATAATTTTGTTATTTGTGCACTTAAATTTGGTATCTAAACTAGTGTGGTATTGTTTCTTATAAACTGAATTGTATAAGACCCAATTTAAGTTAATGGGAAAAATATTTCAAAAGTTGCACATTTTTTTCGATTAGAATTCAAAATTGTTGAACTGTAATATTCAAATCAGATGAAATTTCAAATGTGATTTAGTAAGTTTGTAATAAGTAATTATCATAATAATAATAATAATAATAAGCATTAATTCGTGTAAAATTTTTGCTTGCATTCTTATTAGCATTTATTGGCAGAAAATAATAACAAATAATACTTTTAGTCTGAAAAGTCTAATTTTTAACTAAGTGGAGTCGGGTCAGAAAAATTTTACGACTCGCTGCTTAGATTTTGTAATAAAAATTATATGTTTCTAAAATAGTTTTTCTAGAAAGACTGATATGAACAGAAATGAATGACGAAGATTTTCAAAAGAGAATTTTATGAAGAAAAAAAAACTATGTAGCCAAAATAATTATGCTATAAATACTCGTTTAAGGAATGAAAAAAAAAATTAAAAACTCGAGAAATTTGTACTAGGAAGACAGTTTTGAAAAACAATTTGAGAAACTAATGAAAAGAGAAATTTATAACTTATGAACTTGTTGTTATAGGTTTGAGTTTTCATCTCCTTCCCAGCCACTGATCTAGATTTCATGGAATCTTTTTACATTTTAGATTCCCTTGAAATATTCGAATATTTTAGTGAATGAACTTTCTTGTGTTTCAATCTTCTTAAATGTTCGAAAACTTATTTCTTTTTAATTTTCTTCTTGTTTAAACATCCTCAGGTTTTACCTTCTCCTCATCTGTTTCTTTTCTCCCTTCTTTTGCCCGATTATGTTCTTTAAACTTGTCCTCCTACCCTATTTTTAGAGCTCTTCCATCCTTGTTGTAACTTGTTTAATTATGTGACTCTCTGTTTTCCCTTAATTTTATCACTAATGAAGGCTTTTCACTATAGAACTGTGTATTTGATGTTTGTGCTTTCTTCACGCTGCTTTGCTTTATTCAAAGATGGCCTTTCTTCAATTTTATATTTTACTCCTCAGACTAACTTTTTACACTCAGATTTTCGAAAAATATATTTAGTAACAAGCTATTCATTTTCACAAATGTATAATCTCCTTAGCAATATTTCCGGGCCGGGATAGCCTGGTCGGTAGATCGCTGGCCCCATGTCCGACAGTTTGTGGGTTCGAACCTCGCCGGCCGAAGACTCACAGTGTAGTAAAATGGTGACGGAAGCACGTTAAATCTGTCGAATCTCAAAGTCCTCCATGTACTCATAACAAATCAATACCTCTAAGGGTACTGAATTGGAGATGGATCGTTCTCTGATATAGGTCAAACTTACGATCTGTGCATGAATGAATGGATGTATGAATGGGTCCGCCCTATGAACGGGCGTCACGTATGGGTGTGGCAGAAGTAGAATTCTTGGCCATACATGGCGCCACTGGAACAATCGCACCTGTCTGCCTTAACAGGCATAAGTCAACAGCAACAACACTATTTCCTCAGTTTTTCACCCGACCACAGTGTTGACGTGAAATATCCTCAGTGGTAGACGGATCACGCGTTAGAGTCCCCTTGCCTTCAGGCCACGAAGGAAAATCTCCCAATATTCGATCCAGGAGTTCCCTTGTCTTCTGGATTGGATTCAAAATGACAAGGCTACAGAGTTGAACATTAGTAGTGGTAAACCCATAAAATTGGGTCGGCTATTCAACGACGGTTATAATATAATATAACATAATATAACACACAGCCAAGACTTTACATTGAAACGAAAAATTTCAGCATATTTCATAATTTAGATCTAAAATTAGTTTTAAAACAGTTTTAATAAATGGTATCTATTTGTCAAAAATGTTTTTAAGACAGCTCATGTGTGGTCAACGTTTAACTCATCATCTTCTTTTTTCTTCCATCATAGGAATAACTGTGGACACTGACATTTAAATTCAAACGTACTTTCTGCTACATTTAAGTTTGCGTCGAGTATTTGCGGATGATTAAACAATTTTGCTTGGATATATTTGAGAACTAAATACTTTTCCAGTTTTAAAGGAAGAAGTGCAGATTTATCCGTTACTTTTAAGTTTTTTTTCCCCGTTTCTTTTACTCCAATGATTTAGATTCTTTTTTTTTTTAAATAATTCCCTCTTTTTCATTTATTTGTGTCTTTATTTAATATGAGGCTTAAACGAAAGTGTTTTTTAATAGCTTTTGTTGTTAAACAGGAATTTATGTTCCCGTATAGAAGGCGAATGTATCGTCTTTTTTAAACTTTTCATTTCACATTAGGCAGATAAAGTCTGTACTGAAATGTTAAGCACTGGTGCGTAAACGTAATTTTTTTTTTAAATAAAAAGAAAGAAAAAACGTACAGTTTGCGTGTTCCTTCTTTTAAAAAAAATTTTATTTTTAAAAATAATATGTGGATGGGTTGATATTAATTTAAAATATCTCAAAAAATATGTGTCCAAAACGTTTCATTTGTAACTAAGGGGATAAAAATAAATGTTTCTAAAATAACGCTGCAGAATTATTTTTTTAAAATCACATTGTAATCGTGTTCATTTTTAAAGAAATTAGAAATCTTTCAGAAAAGTAAATATCGGGTTTTGTGCGAATATACTCATTATTGTCAATAGGATATCGGCAAACAGAGATCCTGATTGGTTGTTGACACGTGGTATTTGTTTATGTTGGCAACCTTTTCTTCCTTTATTTTCCTTATTTTCAACATTACATGTTTATATTTTAAATTATTCATGTTTATATTAGTATGTATTCGTATTTCTTACTACACTCGGAACGTGCAGGCCGTTTTTTTTTCTTTCACCGGTCCAACTGGTTAAGGCAAATTTAAATCNTGTTGACACGTGGTATTTGTTTATGTTGGCAACCTTTTCTTCCTTTATTTTCCTTATTTTCAACATTACATGTTTATATTTTAAATTATTCATGTTTATATTAGTATGTATTCGTATTTCTTACTACACTCGGAACGTGCAGGCCATATTTTTTTTCATTCACCGGTCCAACGGGTTAATGCAAATTTAAATCGCTCTATTTAAATGTGATCACTTTACTTGAATGTTATTATTTTCAACTATACATATTTATATTTTGAATGTTATTCAAGCTTAATGTAAACAATCTTCCACAGGGTGGTGAGTTCTTACTACAAACTGGAGGTTGTATGATAATGACAGTTGCCTTCGTTCTTATAGGACCAGCATCTTTTATTAACTTCAAACCGTAAGAAAGATTTCATTCATTTTATGCTGTATATTAACAATGATAGATGAATTAAAAACAACAGGTTACAGTACATACAGTCCCTTGCCAAATTATTAGACACACTCTTAAGATTCTATGTAAAATCTTAATTATCAGGTGATACTCTATACAGCTTTATTGTTTTTACACAGACTGTTTGCACTTGTTTACGTTAACGTATCAATGGGTTAAATGAGACGATATATAATATAAATTCAACGACTGGATACATTAGACGATGTATTATATAAATATAGAATATTTATTACATCAAGCATTATACTAGTATATTATAATAATTAGATTAAATCATTAGAAGCACTGTAGTGTTTTAATAATGACACGCTTTGCACGAGTTTATAGGCAATATTGTTATATTTGAGGGTTTTTATTTAGGAGATTTTAAATATACTTCTTATTTGTATTTATTTTAGACGTATTGCATTACAATGTTAACCCATTGATACACGAACGTAAACAAGTGCAAATAGTAGTGTAAAAACAATAAAGCTGTATAGAGTATCACCTGATAATTAAGATTTTACATAAAGTCTTACGGTGTGTCTAATAATTTGGCTAGAGACTGTAAATGTTATATTTGTTCAATTAATTATAATTTAAAATATCCTAATGGTACAGAAAAAAATGGAATTTAATTGTATTTTTCTTTTGTTAATGCTGTACATCCAAAAAAGAAGGATTTTTTGCCTACGCTAAACTATTGAGAACCCTTTTCTCTTTAGTAAGTAGTACATTTTTTCAATAAAAATGTACTATTTACGACTTATGTTTATGCGAATAAATTCCTTAACATTATTCTGAACTATAAATCTGACCGACTTGCGTTTGATTTCGTTTGATTTAGCGTGAAAATAATAAAAGGAAAAAATGCTTTATTTATTGAGATTGTTACGTAATTTTAATTTTCCATTTTATTTAAAATTTTTATTTCAAATTTAATTTTAAATTTTTTAACTGTTAATTTTATTTTTTGTGCATTTCGCAATATTTTTAAAATTTTCTGGGTGATTTAAAAAGTTTTTGCAGACTAAGATAAAATTGCTTCATCCAAAACTTATTTTACACAATAAATAAATTTTAATAATTCTTTATTTATTTTTTATTAATTTGTTTAATAATAAGAGACATTTTTTTAAAGGTAAGGCTTGAAAGCTTTTACATGATTTTAACTTTTGAAATTTTCCATGACGAAATGTAAATGTGAACCAAATCGAATGGTTCTCGTTCAATAAATTCAAGAAAAAGAACTTTTTTAAAATTTAAAATTGAATATTTAGTAATGAATATTCTTTGTCTGTTCCTTTCTCTCTTGATTAGACTTAAAATACACAAAACACTCCAGTTGTTTGCATTTTTAAAACAATTGGAAGAATACTTTCGAAAATTAAGTTTTTATGTTGCAATTAAGTTTTATGTTTTTAAATGTAAAATGTAGAATGCGTGATTTGTTCTGTTGTGGTTTTGGAAAACAAAACGTAAAAATTTCACTCGTTGGACTTAAAATAAAAGAAAAAAAGACACTTAAAAATTTACATTTGACAGTTTTCTAAATTTGGAAGATTTGAAATATTTTCAGTCTAATTTCAACTCGATAAATATTTTACTTTTTATGAAAAAACAAATAAAAATATCTATTGAAAAATTTCTCGGCGTTTTTGAGCGACATTACATTATAAAGAATATTTATCCAATTTTATTTTAAAGCCATTTCAAAAGCACCGTCTAACTTTACAGCAGAAAAAGAAAATCGACGCCATCAAGAAATATTTTCTTTGTGCAAGGTTTTTTTATGGTTTTTCAGACTTCTTTTTTATTAATGGAATGCTTTTTTAGGGTTTTCTCATGAAAGTTCTTAAGTCGAAAAATAAATTAGAGCACAATACTTCTACTCTCCCATATTTCACTTCAGAAAAAAAAAATCAAAAATAAGATAATGCTTTAAATCAATGTTATTTAAACGATTTGTTTGACATATTAAATGTAGCGTTTCATTTGATTGATTGCTCATTGTTGACAGATAAAGTTGTCACGTTAAGCAATTCAAACGCTGATGAATCGATAGAGTTTAATAGTTTTTGTTTTTATGGTATGGAGAGGAGTTATCGACAATGTCAACCTTCCTCTATGAAAAGATACTCCACCATAGACTTTACTTACTTTATTTAAAATAAATTGGGTACCTAGGCCGCGCAGCGGCCTCTAACCCATCCATCATGAAAATNTGCTTCCATCATTCTCTCATATATCTCTAATTCCATAGGATCCGTGGGTGGTTCAATCGTCATAGGATTACGTCTCGGGCTTTCGGTTTGACGCTTTCCGCCACGTCCGCATTCCTCATGTGGAATTTCCATCCATCGTTGTATCTCCTGTATCGTTGAGTTTCGTGTTGGAGTCTCGGTTTGTCTTTTTCCGCCACGTCCGTGGTGATGATAAGTGGCCATATTCTAGATCAGCAGCTGCGATTGATAAACAGCGTGAGTCGTGAGTCGCAATTCCCTAACTACCTAATTCGGTCGGGTCAGGAAGAGCTCCATGAGTCTGATCATTGGGTCGTGAGTAGTCATTGAGTGAAGATCCAGAAAGAGGAACACTCCACCATAGAATCGTGTTAACATATGTCTTTAGTGAATTGGAATTATATTTTGTAGTGGTAGATACAAAACAGTACTCCCTCACCAGAATTATATGTGTGATAGAATTCGATGTAAGGATACCACAAGTTCATTCATTGCTGTTTTGTGAGAATCCGGGAGAGATGTATTAAGATCACCGCACTTTTGAGTGCTGTATTAAGTTCACTGTCGCTCCTGTGTTGCTGTTGGCAGTCGAATGTATATGTTTTACGTTGTATGTGATCAAGAGAGAGAAACAACAGTAAGAGGAGGACAATGTCACAAATAGCAAGTCAACAGTACAATGTGGGCCATTCATCGAAGTAGGCGTGTTCAAATTATAGAGGGCGTTTTTGATAATATAGGCGTATTCAGTTTGAAGTGGGAAATTCAGTCAAGGTGGACACCAATGCATGGAGAGGAGTTATCGACAATGTCAACTTTCGTCTATGAAAAGGTACCCCAGCATGGAATCGAGTTGACATGCCTTATATACTAGTGAATTGGAATTCTATTTTTGTAGTGGTAGATACACTACAGTTGTTATAATGAATACAAAGGTAGGGAAAAATACACAATTCTTTTCAAATAATATTGATTCGAATGTTTGCGAAGGAGAATCATCAGGCTTTCAATCCCCCAAAGCCATCATTTGTTTATTACATGAAATTACTTACATAAAATTATGTCGATGTGTTTATCTTAATGAAATGAATGATTACCTAGATTTGAAAAATAATCATCGGTTGAATGTTTAGATTTATAATTGGTAACATATAATCTCTCTCCTGTTATATTTCACTGACATCTACTCGGGTGTGAGCTTATAAAATAAAGAAATAAAGATAATTCTAGATGAAAAATATTTTTCTACCACAATTGATAAATAGTGAATTATTAAAGCAAAGAAAAAAGCAGAAATTGATCGGCCAATACGTTTTTTTTTATTTTCTACAAGTTTAACTGCATATAATTTTTAACTAATAGTCGAATTTTATTCATCATATTTTGTTTCATCGTTTTTTCTAAACTTTTTTTCTACACTCTTTCGTAATTTTAAATTTCCAATTCTTATAAATTTTGAGCATCAAATCAAATTGCAACGCAAAGCAAAATAGTGAGAAAATATTCACATAAAAATAAAGCACTCAAAATGGCAACTATTTTCAAACAAATTAGAAAAGAATTCTGTGTTTTTTCATAGACAAATGGGTCCTTTCAGCTTGTCAAATTTTAAGAAGTTGCGTTAGAATTTTGGTTCATTCCTGACGCCCGAATGTAGAGCGGTCTGCATGGTATTATTTCCAAAAAGTTTAACAGTTAATAATTCTCGAAAATATTATAGAATGTTAATTTTTTTTATTCCATCGTAATCCCCGTATACGTTTCTAAACGCCATAGTAATTTCAAGTTTCTAAGTTACATTATTTTTTCGCAATAAGACAAATCGCAACGTTGAGTTGACAGCGTCGGCGACCCTTATGACTTTTTTAATATTGAGGGGCATTTTTATTTTGTGCCTTTTGTTTGTTAATTTTATAGACCGGCAAAACTCTAGTTGCAATGTGAGAACTCAAAGAAAATATCCTCAGTGGTAGGCGGATCATGGAATAGCGTAGCCTTGCCGTTAGGCTAACCGTGGGAGGTTTTGTGGTTTTCTAAGAAAGTATTAGTAGTAACTCTTAGAAATCTAAGCGATTGAAACCTGAGATTGTCATCAGGCACAGTTGAGATTCCATTACTCTACATGGCGAAAATAATTCCAGTAAAATTACCGCATGATTGGTAATGATATTTCTAGTAAAAAATCCCATAATTCCAGTTAATAAAATCAAAATATACAGTATTTAAACAATTCATTCGGTTTTTCTGGCTTTTCAAAATTATAGATCCTATCGCCACGCAATTAGTAAAGAACACGAAACAGAAAAGTAAATTTAACCGAATTAATAGTTGAATGCATGCGGACCCATTTTGTAATAATTACAAAACTTTACCAAATATTCCAAAACAGATCACATATTATAAAATCATAATGTCAATTTTATCAAAACCGGCACCAAAGCACTACGGTAAAAATTATCGAGCTTTTTACCTTTTTACCAAGTTGTGACTATCCACAGACGTGACCCATCAAATTTATTAATTTTACTATATTTACAATTTTAATTTGTTCCATATGTTTTAAGATTTGTTGCCCACTTTTATTACTTTTAAAACTTAAAATTTTGTTAAAAATTTTGTATTGAATTTTGTTTTATAACAGGTTAAAAAAATTTCTTCTTCCCCTTCATATCTATATCTAAATTGTGGAATCAGTCTGACAAATGAGTGAGGTTTCTCCAAATGTCATTAAAAACAACAACAGTGAAATAATGGCACATCAAGTTTAGTCGTACAATTGGTAGTATGTCGGTTGAAGTGGAAAATGTCTCAGAACTTAAATAGTGATGCAATGTTCCCTTTTTTTAATACACTATACAAAGTATATATATTTCTCTTTTTATTAAATAGAAAAGTATGGATGATTATAACTGGTCTATTGCTGAAAGGATTAGGAGCTGGTCCTCTCATATCTTGTTCCTATTCAGCAGCTTTGAAAGCAGCCAGGTAAGTACAGTCTAACCCATTATATTACATTATAACAACCGACCCGAGTTTCAGTTTACGACTATCAATGCTCAACTCCGTTACTTTGTAACTTTGACCCCAATCCAGAAAACAAGAGAACTCCTGGATCAAGTATTGGGAGAAATTTCCCTTCATAGAGGACTCTTTGATGAAGCTTACCTGCATTTGAATTACACGAAAAGGAAAACCACGAAAATCTCCCGCGGCCAGCCTGCCAGCAAGGGGACTGTCACCCATGATTCGTCTACTACGGAGGATATTACATCGGGACAGTGGTCGGTGCGAGCTGGGGGTGGAATTCGAATCGTCCTGCTATGGCTGGGAGTCGAACCCGGTTCACCTCATTGAAAGAAGAGCTCTCTATTCCTTGAGCCACCACGACTCAAACCCCACTATAATGAACTCTGGATAAAGTAAAAATTTTTCGTGGTTCTGTTCGAACTGCTATGAATTAATGTTATTGCATGCGCTTTTAGTGGACAGCAAAGAAATTGATAGTTTGTTTATAGTGTACTCAAATTTCTTTCTTTTTTGCCGTTATTTAAATAACTACAACAAAGTTTTTAGTTGATGTCATAAGTTCAAAAGTATATAATGTTATTGTCGTCGTAAGCCATGAAGGAAATGGGGGCGATAGTTCCTGTTCAGTTTTGTTTCGACTTTTGCCACACCCATACGTCACACCCGTTCATACAGTGAACCCACAATTACAAGCATTCATTCAGCCACAGATCGTAATTTTGGCCTGAACCAGAGAACGATCAATCTCCAATTCAGTACCTCCAGAGGTGTAATTTGTTATATGAACATGGAGAACCTTTTGACCCGACAGATTTAGCTTGCAGCAATCACAATTTACTACGCGGTGAGTCTTCGGCCGGCTGGATTCGAACCCCCGTTCTTACAAGCGTGAGTCCAACGCACACACAAGTCCTAGGTATTGCACAACAGTTTTTCCCTTTAAAAACTAATTCAAATTAAGTAATTATATCAAATTAATACTGTACTCAAAGAACCCACGACCTCTTGGACATGGGCCCAGTGCCTTACAAACCAGGCTCTCCCGGTCCACAAGTTCATTACATTTAGAATTGCCCAACATCCGGTACACAGGTGAACCTCCTTCACTTTACTTCTGAGTCGTGATGGCTCAGGGGATAGAGCGTTCGCCTTCCAATCAGGTGAACCGGGTTCAAATCCCAACGATGGCTGACTAGCACCAATTACACTGCAAACATAAAATGTTCTCAGTGGTAATTGGATCAGCGGTTAGAGTCCCCTTGCTGTCAGGCTAACCGTGGGAGGTTTTCGTGGTTTTCCTCTCCATGTAACGCAAATGCGGGATAGTTCCATCAAAAGAGTCCTCCACGATGGCAAATTTCTCCCAATGCTCGATCCAAAAGTTCCCGTGTCTTCTGGATCAAGTTTAAAATGACAATGCTACGGAACTGAATATTAGTAGTAGTAAACTCAAAAATTGGGTCGGCTATTCAAAAATTATAACATAATTATAAAATTATAACATAAATTATAAATTATTTGTACAAATTATTTGTATAAATTATTTGTATTATCTTAGTACATATGATACTCTGATAAATCACCCAGAAAGTTGTTTTTCTGGAATAGTATACCGTAGTTAACAGTTCCCCTCATTATTATAAGATCTGGACTTTCTATATTCTTTATTGTACATGTGTTCAAAGCGCACGATAAAACCAATAATAAGTTCAAAATAACTTAGAATGCAAAAGGGTTAAAATTAAGTAAGCTAATACCTTTATTTCATAAAGACAAGAAACGAAATTCAGTTTTTCACAAACATTTTGTTGAAAATTTGTCTTAATGGTTCATGTGACTTTTTTTCCTTGTCGGTATGTTAATTACTTGGGAAAATTAATCAACAACCAATAAGTACCTACCAGATAATTATGGTTGGCGAACTTGGTCCTAGTGCTTTTTTTTGTAAAAGATTTTTTTTATTAAATTTCTGGAAATTTAACACGTTTCTTTGCAAATAACTGCATTAGTTTATTTTTATTTTTGAATAATTTATTTTATTTTTATTTATTTTTTGCAGCAACGACTTTATTATTTATTAATAATTCATGAAACATTAAAATGAAAACTTTTTCACTTTAGTTTTGTTAGACTCTTAATTTTAATTAAAACAGATTTTTACTTTAGTATGATTGGTGAATAAAACCTTAAACTTATTAGCAAAATAAATGCTCGATAACAAAATAAGCAGTTTGAATAATTAAGCATATAAGAAGCATAATGCTTCTTTTTTCAAATGGCATATTTATGCAAACTGAAGAACAAAAATCTTTTTATTCAATTCATTCTAAAGTTTAATACCTATATTTTACTTTCGTATTACTTTCCCACATTTTTATATTCTACTTCTAGAAATTTCATTTTCTTGAAATTATTTATTGCACATTATTATGGTGTGATTATGAGATTAATTTAAATCAGTTGTCTGAATATTAAAACAAACAGTAGAATAAATATATAAGCAAAAACCGAATTTTTTTTTCTCTCTCTTTTGCAGGCGTTCTGGTTTAGCCGAAGATTTTAGAACATACAGTCTAGTTTCAACATTGGTTTCTTTCTCAATTCCTTTAGGGTAAATATTATTTTAAAAATATACACCTTGTTTAGTTATTTTTTTAAAAAAATGAATGCAAGTACTCCAAATGATTCTTTTTGAAGTAAATAGTAGTGTTTAATGGATTTGAAATTCGGAAGCACAAAGAAACAAAAATAAGTATCGAAATATTCTTTTAAAAATTAAAAGAAAAATTTGTCTTGTTTAATGGATAAAATATTAGTTCAATATGTTGTAAGTAATTTAATATATGAGTTTAATATGTTGGCTGCGGCTGCGTCGGCCAATTTGTTCAAATAAAAAATGTGCATGCGCACTGTTAGAAATTTCTCGGAAAAAATGGTTAGATAACAATTTATTAAACGGTTATTTTATTATATTAAATCAACGCAGTCAAATAACCATAAGTAAAATGGTAATCAAACTGTTAAGTTTTAGAAAAATTGTTTATTAACTGTTTTCACCTAATACGGTTAAACAACCGGAATTTTATCGCATCCACTAGAACCATCTCATGAAGCTACTTAGTTCTCCGCAACTGCGTACATATTATAACCGAGCTGGCTTATCTGACAATTTCATGACCAGCAGAACTGTAGTTCGAGTCCTAGTGTTGACACCACACTATTTCCTCCATTCCCTTCACCACATGAAGAATTTTCAGTGTCCGGCATTCTCCAATGCCCATTATCTTACGAAAATCCGAGCTCCTGTGTATAGTTAAATAATAATTTTTTTTTTACATTTTTGAAAAATGCTAGCTGCAAATGGTTAAAAATCCGTATAGTTTTGCATTCATGGTTTTATAACCATACTTTTTGTCAATGGTTTCAAACCATAAAGGAAAGATATGTTCTTTACTGTAAACTTACGGTTAATCAGACAGCTGCCAGTTATTTTACCATAGTTTTAGAATGAAAATTTTAACAGTGTGTGAAATGTTTATATTCATTTTATAAATTCATTTTATATTCATTTCATATTAAAGGCCCCCTGTTTGCTGACGTTCACCTTGATATGAAAGAGTTGAAATTATTCAACTAAAAATATATGAACTAAGAAGAAAACGCTACTTTCCATTAAGATCTATTAGTGAATCTTTTTAAGTAATCATTTTTTGACGCAAGATTTAAAATTAAAAGTTGAAATTTAATATTTTTGATTACCAAACGAACGGATGTATATTTTAAACACAATTTCGACAATCATCACTATGCGGCTGAAAGTTAACTTCCAAACCATTTAACAAATCTCGTGAAATCGTAATTCATAATAATGTAATTTCTGCTTTTCATAATAATGTAATTTCTGCTTTCATAATAATAATAAATTAATAATAATAAAACATTAATAATAATAAAAATAATAAATTAATAATAATAATTACATAATAATGCATTTAATGTAATTTCCACGTAATAATAAAAGCAACCCTCTTAAACACTTAATTTGGAAAACAAACGAAATCAAAAACGTGATAGTTACAGTACAGGTAAATACCTTTAAATTAGGGATGCAAAAATATTTATAAGAAAACAATAGCTTTATGACTTACAGTCCCTGGCCGAATTGTTAGACACATTATAAGATTCTATGTGAAATTTTTATTATCAGGTGATACTCTATACAGCTTTATTGTTTTCACGTGACTGTTTGCACTTGTTTACATCAGTGTATCAATGGGTTAAATGAGACGATATATAATTCGACGATTAGACAAATTCGACGATATATTATATAACTATTGAATATTTATTTATATCAGGTACTATATTAGTATATTATAATCATTAGACCCAATGATTAGTCACGTTGTTGTTTCTTAATAATGACATGCTTTGCACGAGTTTGTATGCAATACTTTTATATTTAAACATACACGTAAAGGGTTTTAATACGGGAGAGTTTTTATATACTTCCTATTTGCATTTATTTTTAACGTATTGCATTGCAATGTTTACCCATTGATACACGAACGTAAACAAGTGCAAACCGGTTTCAGACGCGCAAAAACAATAAAGCTGTATAGAGTATCACCTGATAATTAAGATTTTTGCATGGGATTTCAGAGTGCGTCTAGTAGTTTGGCCAGGGACTGTATATCTATGTTATGCTGATGACAACTGAACCAATATGAAATTTAATGCGGGCAAACTGGATCCTACCATGTTATTTTCCTGTCAGTAAAAATGCACCAACAACAATGGAAAACTACGACACCTACATTAGATTTTTATGTATAGTAAGAAATTGAACTCATTTATAATCGAAGTAAATCATAATTGAAGTGATTCATACTTGGACTAATCGAACACTTACGAATCGTTACATTTCATACTTTTTCATTCGAAAATGTTTGTTATTCACGCTCACCCTAAACGTAGGTGCAAATTTATTACTAACTACACATAATACACAGATCTAAAGAGCTTCTTTTACTCATTTGATGAATATATTACAACTTGACTAGGAAAATTCTTAAAATAGTTCTACATCTTCGTTTAACAAAGTATTTTCATTCCGAAAGAATATTACATCACTTACTACTTAAGCTTCTTAAGGAGTAATTCGCAGCATTCGATTCTCTTACTAAATTCGACGCTCCATTTCTCTCCATATTTTAAAAGAGACTTTTGTTCGATGCGAATGCTCGTTTTCTAACGAAGATATTAGGATGAATTAAGAAACGCCTCTGTTAGCTTCACGTCTTTTCAAATATTACAAAATGGCGCTCAGTAAAATGTATGTATTGATTCTAGCAACGGATTTAAAACTATGTACACAAATAAAATGAAAGAAAGTATATAATATTAAGTGACGATTAATTACAAACGAAATGTAGTAGTCGTTTTATTGCGATTAACCATGGGTCAAATGATTTTTTTTTTATTCTTTAAATAGACTTTTATAAACGCTTTGACACTTCAAGTCATGCGCCAATGCGCCAGAAAAGAGTGAGCAATGTTCAACTTTAAGAGTAAAAATGCATCAAAAGAGTGAGAAAAAAACATGTTTTTATGTTAATATCACACAAAAGAATAAAGTATGATATTTTGCAAGATTTACATAAGTGTAAATGCTTGAATAGATTTCCCCATGTACATGATTTCCCCAAAATTTATATCAAAGGTAAACAAATCTACTTATTTCAAACGAAGCTTCGTGTATGAAATAAAAATATCCATTTTCATGAGATGCTGAATCATTAAAATGAAAAATGTAATTTTCTAATATTTTTCAGAAATGTTTTTACACAAATTTTTACACATATCATAAATTTTCTAATAACTTTTATAAATGTTTTTATACAAGTTTTGACACATATCACTATTTAGAGTTATTTCTACTGACAAACTCATCGAAATTTCTTCATATTAAAAATTGGATGTTTGTTTGCTGAGCCAAAACTATGAGACTTAAAAATGTGAAATTACGAATGAAAGTAGAAAGATGTACAGAGAAAAATTAACATTCAATAATTAGTTCAAAAACTGTAAACTGTTAAGCTTGTAAAAATAAAAAAGCGTGTGGCCCAGCAGCCCACTGAAATGCAAATAAGTTGTTGAAATTTGACGACCATCTTTATCTGTGAATTATGTTCGAGGTTTTTTTTTCTTCAAATTTCAATTTTCTACAAAGTTATTGCAACTTTTTAGTGCTTTGTCGCAAATTATTTTCCACTTTTTTTGCTTTTCATTACATTGCGTTTACATTTTCGATCGGAGCACATAAACTATAAGTTAAAATTTCGAAGAGGTGTATAAAAATATACATGGAGAACTTAGGAAAAAATTGATAATTAGTTACTAGATAAATTCGATAATTAGTTACTAGTTACCGATAACTAATTTAAATTGTTAAACTTTTAATGAAAAGTAACCTTTGAGCAGCTTGTAGGAATGCAACATAACAGTTGAAATTTAACTTGCTGAAGTAACCATCTTTATTTCTGACCTTAATTCGAGTTGTCTTTTTTTTTTTTTTTTTTTTTTTTTTTTTTTTTTTTTGTAATTTCAATCAGTTAGATATAACAATAAAAACTACAATGCTATCAAACACAAACCAAGCCAGACTGAAATATACGACTACGAATTGTCAATCCATTCAAAAGGTACTGTGAAAACAGTTTCGGGGGTTGGCGAGCGTAGCGATCAGAGGTTGAATGGCAATAGGGGAGCCTTCAATTATTCAATGTCAGCCTTCATTTATGGAAAGGTCCCCCACCATAGAATCGAGTTAACATGTCTTACATACCTGTGAATTGGAATTATATTTCTGTAGTAGTAGATGCACTACAGTACTCCTTCGCCACCAGAATTGTATCTGTGATACAGAATTCGATGAACGGATACTCCTAAGTGATTCATTGCTGTTAGTTGAGAAGACGGAAGAGCTGTATTAATATCACCGTACTTTTTAAGTGCTGATCGTGAGAGCTGTATTAAGTTCACGGGCGGGGACGCTTTTGCGTTGCCTTTAGCAGTCGAGTGAATACGTTGTATGTGATCGAGACTGAGAAGCAACAGCGTGAGGAGGACAATGTTGGTGTCACAAGTAGCAAGTAAACTGTTCAATGTGGACCATTCATCAAAGTAGGCGTTTTCAGATCGAAGTGGGAGTTACTGTCAAGGTAGGCGCGTTCACATCATGTCCGGGTCACCAATGTGAGGGGAGTTGTTATCGACAATGTCAACCTTCATCTATGAAACAAAATGTGCAACAAAAATTAATAATTTTACTCGCTAACACTATTTTACAACAGCCTCGTGTCGTAGGATAACCCTATTTCAGTGAAACAGTTTATTTTTTCATTCCTAAAACTCTTAATTAAACTCTTAAATTAATTTTTTACATCTTTAAAAATTTCAATGTGAATCCGTTATAGCTATCAACAAGTAATCTCTTTCTGATATATTATTCTTAATATTAACTCAAGCGTTAAGATTGAAAAAAAAATTGAGAGAAGTAAATATTTCTGTTTACTACATTTTACAGATAGTCATGATTTAAAGCAGAAAATGTGAAAAAGTATTGGAACGGGAAAAAAAAAATAGCTCCCATTTAGTTGTTTGGCTTTGCTTATATTTATGAGTTTTAAAGTGGAAACTACTTCAGAAAGTTTTGCAGTCTTGGGAACAAATTTCTGATAAATAGCTTTTAGTAAAAAAAAACAGTTCTCATCTATAGTTAGGAATAAACTGTTTTAAGAAAATATAGTTTATATAACGGACCCTCTCATACTTAACAGACATTATAAGATACAAAAAAAAATTGCATAAGAGTCTTTTATCTTAGTTTGACTTGTGATTGCTTAAATTTATTGTTGATATATATTTTGTTGTGGTTCCTAAAAAAAGAATGATGATGGACCCCAGAGGCTCCTTTCACAAAAATATATATGCAAATTAAAAAAAATCAGCGTGCTCTCAAATTTATGAACTTTTCAGGAAATATAAAAAATTTTATATGTAAATTAAAAAAAAACAAACTTGAAAACGAACAAAAATAACTTTTATTGTTGTAAAAATGAAAATAAAATAGTAACATTGTGGGTTTGCGCAGCAATGGAATTTCTATATCCTCATAGCTATACAATTTATTTGCATATACAAAGATGAAATTTCTAATACCGAAGCAAAAGCAGAGAACAAATTGAAATTGCGTAAAAATAGTTTTTAATGTTGTAGAAACAACATTACAGTGAAGAAAAAATTCCTAAATAATTATGGTAAAATTTTATGTAACCAAAAATTCTGATACACCATGATTTTTACAGTCATAATTACTGAATTGTCACCCTGTGCCAGTATGTTATAACGTAAAATCATTCCGGAAAAAAAGTACCTGGTGGTACTTTTTACAGCAATTTAATCAGGAATTTCTCTCAGTGTAGAATACTAGATGTGAGTTTACGCTGCTATGCAATTTTTAGTTAAGTATTATCTGCTTTAGTGATGTAAACAATTCACCAATGAATTCCTGATACCTCCTTATTTTATATATTAGATTTTTGAAAACGAGTACAAAAAAAGTTTTTTTTCGTCTTTAAAATCAATATTTTCTCCCTAGATCCGAACCATTCAATACACAATTCATTGTTAAAAACCTTATAAATATCTCACAATACTTGAAGATTCTCTCAAATGCAAAAACCAATAAACTTTCGAAAACACAATTAATTTTATTTGTACTGCTACGAGTTTATTAATTTTGGTAAAATAATTACTGCTTGCTGAAAATCTACGACTTCGATTTTAACTCTTTTTAAAATAAGTCCGCAATATTGTTCTCTGTGTACTGAATTTCAGTAATAATTTAAAATCTGTCACATTTAAATCACATTTGAAACCGCAGGTACAGTCCTTGCCTAAATTATTAGACGCACTGTAAGATTCTATGTAAAATCTTAATTATCAGGTGAAATGGTTATTGTTTATACACGGCTGAAACTGGTTTGCATTTGTTTACGTTCGTGTATCAATGGGTTAAATGAGACAATGGGTTAACAACTATTATACAGTTGTTTCTCAACTATTATACAGTTATATTAATGGAAAAATAATAGTAAGGAGAAGACATGGTCTTGTTTGTAATTTTTTGACGAAATTTATTTTTTTCAATTGGTTTAAATGCTGGCCAATAAACTTTCAATAATTCCTTATTAGACTGGGTATCATCTATTTCTTTATGGGGGGTTTATGTAAGCAAAATAAAACTGGTGCGAATTCCAGCTCATTTTGACTTCGAGATTGTTTTTTCTGCGTTACATTTTCATCTTCATTTATTTATTTTTTTAAAAAAATTTAGTAATAATACCCATGCCCCTTAGCAGTGACATATATTTCAGATTTTTTTCTTCTTTACTTTTTTAATTTTGTTCTTTATATTATTATAAAAGTTAGAAAATGGTTTTTTTATTATTAAAATAACATTTTAAATGCAATAACTACTGTACTTAGAATTTTTACACACACATAAAAAAGTAATGGATTACACGCACATCTTATTCAATGAGAGCAAATGAAACAAAATGTTGAAACTAAATATGATATAACTAATGTAAAAACACAACAATATGATTTCCAAAACATAAATTTTACAAATCTTTTACAGTGTATACCAAAATCCCCACCCACATTTCCCTCCTAATCAGTGAAGTCGTAATCGGTGAAAAACTAGGAGCACTCATGCCATCTATTAGGAAAATAGCGAATTAAGTATCCTAAAGTAGAAACGAACACAGCTCGGGCTTCACAAAATAGAAACGTTAATTTTCTCCTGCCCGATATCAGTTCGGGCATCACAAATACTGCACGTAAGAGTTGCCTGAACTGGATTCGGCTGACACTGGCAAAGGGGTTAAAATATAAGAAAAAAATTACTATAGTTTAAGGAGGTTAGAGGAGTATTTTTTTTTTTAAAAAATTAAGTCTTCAACTTATCAATTTCATTTTTAGAAGTGTAAAAAAATTCGAAATTACTAATTAGTTTAAATGTTCTCTTCTCTTCTTATGAGACAAAAATATTAGTGTGCAAAGAGTTAGCACTTTTTTTCTCTTCATATAAAATGTAAAAAAGATTTTTTTGACACTGTAAGAGATTAGTAATAGCTTACGGATCGCAATATATAATAAAATTTAAAGCAAAATTTTATTTATTTATATTTTGAAATTAGACCAACCCAAGTATAACAGCAAATTTGTATGTTTCAGAAATCTGTTCGGTGGCGTTACAACCGGAATTATGACGGAAAATTTGGGCATGCGCCTCTCTACCACAGTTTATGGCGGAATATTCTTATTTCTGGTAAACAAATATTTTATTATTAACTTTTGTTTAGAAGTATTCTTCTCGAATGTTGTTTAACAAATTTAATCTGAGGTCATTTCATGGTTAGGATATTGTTTAGCTCATTTTGCGAATAAATGAAATAGATATTTTAAGTAAAATAATTTATATTTTAAGATATTATATCATCAAGATATTATTAAGATAATAGATATTATTTGATTTTCATTAAGTGAGAATGATTCTTTAATTTTTAAGACTAAGACTTATGACTTTTCTGAAAGTCTAAATATAGATTATTTATAATAATTAAAGTGATCGTTTCGTGCGAGACGAAGATGAAATTGTGTACATACAGTTCCTGCACAAATTATTAGACGCACTTTAAGATTCTATGTAAAATCTTAATTATCAGGTGATACTCTATACAGCTTTATTGTTTTTTCATTACGGTTTGCACTTGTTTACGTTAGTGTATCAATTGATTAAATTTGGCGATATATAATATGAATTCGAATCGTTTTTAGTTAGACGATGTATAATGTATATTCGAATTGTTTTCAGTTCAAAAGTAAGCTTAAACAGGAACCAACATTTCACAGCTTTAAACCGAGTTCTTGTAGCTTTGTCTTTGTAGCGTAAATCACGCCAACAGATACGTGGCATCTAAAATAAAAGCGAGCATGCGCAGTTTCTTCAATCTTACGTAGGGGAGCATACAGAAGCTAACGTAAAAGTACGACATCTTCCTATTATTTCTAGATGTCTAATTTGCTTCATTCTTATCTAAGTCATATACGGACGTTTTTTGTGTATTAAATTTTCTAAATAGTTGAAATCAAAGGAATAATAATTGTATATAAATAATAATTAGAATTACTGCACAGTCCCTGACCAAATTATTAGACGCACTATAAGATTCTATCGAAAATCTTAATTATCAGGTGATACTATACAGCTGTATTGTTTAAATGCGGTTGAAACTGGTTTACACTTGCTTATGTTCGAGTATCAATGAGTTAAGATTTGCAATGCAATACGTTAAAAATAAACACAGATAGGAAGTATATAAAAAAAATCTCCGTAATAAAAAACCCATTACATATATGTTTAAATATAAAAGTATTGCCAATAAACTCGTGCAAAACATATAATTATTAAAGCACTACAATGCGTCTCATAATTTGG